AACAAACAGTCATGGACCTCCACAGGACCAGCATACTAAACCAAATGGATTACAGTCGGGACTCTAAAGAAGGGAAGCCGGTTCAGTCGATGGAAGAACGGCTCGACAGCGGCTTGGACTCGCTGAAAGAAGAGGAGTACCAGGCTGTGGCGGCCGAGATCCGTCGGCTCCAGGTGGACTGTGAGCCGCCGAAGCACCAGCAGCCTCCTGCTGTAACCGGAGAGCTGCAGGCATGGAAAACACAGATCACGGAGGACGGAGACACGTAAGTTAGAACAAGTAATATCTTTACAGTGTTAAAGAATAAGGAAGAATTTAGAGTTTTGGGGTATAGCTGGTAGTATCGCTTGAGTAGGCCCAGTTCAAGTCTTTGAGGTAATTTGATCCCTTTCCTGTTGGGAATGTCTTCCTCTGTCATTACAATGCACAGGCCCAGGCCTGACAAAACCCGCAATGGGGCCTCACTTTTAAACATTAGTATTTATAAAAGTACACTGCTGCAGTGTTAGTAACACGTAGAATAAAAGTTACGTTTGTTAAAGAGTGTAGCTTGTCGCGGGACACGGTGGTTTTAGAGGTAAACAAAAGGCTATTATCAGGAGGTGATTTACTATGGCCGCGGGTCAGACTGGGAAAGTCCCGGGCGCGCCGCCGCCAAGAAATCCGACCGAAGCGCGCTCCCGTGAAGCGAGAAGCAGGGGAAAAGTAGAAAAAAGATGCCTTAAATTACATAAATTGTAGGCTGTGGATGTGGAGGACGAAAAACGTGCTTAGAAATATGTCTACGGCTTGTTTCTATTTATTTTTTTTAAACAAAACACGGGGGACCAACACTGAAAGCCACTCAAATGTTATTTTAGTTTTAATAGAATCCATCCGCCGTGAAATATAGTCCGGACTCTGCACAATGTTGTTACTGTTTCCTCACGTGTAAGAAGTGATGCGCTGTTGGGTCACAGTTGAACAACGTGACTTTGATAACTCAGACTCTTTCAAACTAATGAAACTGGAGCTAAATTACAGTAGTTTACAATTGAGGGCAGTAAAAGCTTTTAAAGGGGACAATTTTTAATCTAGCTCTTAGTAAACTTAATGGTCTTTAATGAAATATACCTATGTATTTGGATCCCCCTTATGCACAAGCTAGGTTGCCAATAATTTCCCTTTGGTCCACACAAATACAAAATATATCACTGCATACGAAATATCTATTACACAAATTTTCTTTTGATACTTGAAATTAAGAATCTTCTGTATGACATTAAAACTTTGTGAACTTAAAGTGTTTTAAGAATCGGTAGAGGGTTTTTAAAGTCAGAATTGGGTTTATTGCCAAGTAGATTTATACTGTCTGTCTGAGTGCATAACATTAATCACAAGTGATTTTTCTGCAACACAATGTGGTGTGGATTAAAAACATTAATCATGTGATTTTACCTGATCACAAAGTTTCCCATCACTATCTATCCTTTTGTCTCCTCAAAAAAAAATATTTTTTTTTTTGTCTGTTATTGATTTTATTCTTTACATGTGCTGTAACAAGTCCCTTATTTTACTTTGTGTGTCTTTAGGCTGCTCCACCTGGCCATTATCCACGAGGCCAAGGACTACATCAGAAAGATGATAGACCTGTCCAAGAACACAGACTTCCTCAACACACAAAATGACCAGAGACAGGTACATGAGCTACCTCTAAAGACAAAAAGTGTTTCCTATCCACCTCATCTGCTCTACCTCTGTCTTCTCCACGTCGTTCTGTTGTGTTGTAAAAAAAAAAAAAAACTGAGGCTATGATCACTTTAACAATTATTATACTCATTAACTCACCTGCCATTTCCCCTCTGTAGACTCCTCTGCATTTAGCTGTAATAACGAACCAGGCAGACGTGTGCGAGCGCCTCCTGGTATCCGGCTGTGACCCCACGCTGGTGGACGACAGCGGGGACACACCTCTTCACATCGCCTGTCGCCATGGTAACCTGCTCTGCTTCAGCGTCATCACACAAAACTGTCAAACGGAGCATCTACACAAAGTGATGGCCGCCTGCAACTACCATGGTAAGACTTCCAGAACTGATGTGGTTCTGACTTTACTTTTTCGTCCCTGTTCTTTTCTACACTTTGGACACACTGATTATTCTTTTGTCTGTTTGTTCTGTTGTCGTTATTAAACCTCCTTGTGTGCAAGTCAGGGCAGTGGTGGATTTAATTATAATGATTTAACACACAATGGAAAAACGATAAAACACTAATTTGCTGCTGGTATTTCTTAAGGAGGAATGGTGGCCATCATATTTACTGCCCTTTATTCCTGAACACTAATTTGGAGAATGGAAACATTACAGGAAGCAAAGGGGAATACCACAGCCATTTGTGCCTTCACATCCTTACATAAAAAACATCTATTACGAGGCACACAGTGTCAGATGCTCAGGCTCCAAATAGAACATTGAATGGCTTTAAATTTAGACTTAATCAGAAATATGTTTCAGCCTCATGTGTTTGCATTCTTGGCTTTTTGAAGATCTCTTATGGGAATCAAAGTCTGTGGGTTTTTTTAGACCTCTGCATTAACACTTCAGAATGATCTATATATTAATACTTTAAGTCAAATGCTATTTACGTTTTCACTCTGACTTACTAACGTTTTAATCTAACAGTGTAAACATATATGCTGGTCAGGTGTCTGTTATACAACTCTTCCTCTTATTTGTTTTTTCAGGTCAGAACTGCCTCCACCTGGTCTCAGTTCAGGGCTTCCTCTCTCTGGTGGAGAATATGGTGGATCTAGGAGCTGACATTGATGCAAAGGTAAACCACCTGAAGATGATAGTAAAGCTAAGAACAGTGATGTTAAGACATTTTGAGTAGCAGGGGGACATCCAGCCCAGACACTAAAATATTGTGTTCCCTCCTCGTCTTACAGGAGCAGCGTAACGGCCGCGGCGCCCTCCACCTGGCTGTGGACCAGCAGAACCTCTCGCTGGTGAAACTACTGTTGAAGAAAGGAGCGGACCCAAACCTCCTCACCTCTGGAGGTCACACCCCTTACCACCTGACCTATGGCCGTGACAATGACGACATCAGGAAAGAACTGTTCTCGCTGACAAAGCCCGACCTGAGGGAGCTGCCCGACAGCGAATCAGACGACAGCGAGGCAGAGGAGGACGAGGAGTCTGATGACGAGGTGGGTGTTGAAATTTTTAGCTGTAACATCAATGTTTTTTTCTTGCTGATTTATAACCACTTTCCTGTCCTGTGTTTGCTTTTGTAGGTGAGTTATGACGACATTCAGTGGAATGGACATTAGTAGGAAATGAGAGAGAGAGAGTGAGGAAGTTACAGAGACAGGAGGCTGTGATGATGAGAAATGGCTCGGCATGTCTACTTCTTCCTGCAATGACATCACAAGAGCCTGATGGTGTGGGCGACACGGCGCCAAGCGTGTGCGCTGGCACAGCAGATGGACAGGCAGCTACAAAAAGGAGAATCAAAAAAGAGACTGACGTTCAAAATAACCAATAAGTCTACTCCGGGCGCTGCAGGAGAGCAAACGCACGCTGAGATGTGAATATATGACGTGTTATGATGGGATAAGGTTTGCTGTACAGTATGCTGCAAGGATCGCTTGTATTCTGTGTCTTCATTTGTCACAAGAACATCCATCCACACAGATGTACCTGCAACAGCTCTGGTGTATGATATTGTAAATGCTGTGTATAAAAAGATGTATTTTTTATGGAAGCTGTGAATGTGTAGAGTTAAGCAGGTTGTACTATAAATTTCAAGACAGCAAACAGTCCAGCACACTCCAGTTAAATTAAAAACACTCGTATTTAACAGTAAAAACTTGTGAGTATATTTGTGGAGTCTGACGCATGAAGAGGAAACAGATGGCATGTGAGTGGAAAATTCCTGAATGGCAACTGTGATACTAATTTTGGATAATAATGCAATAATAATTGGACATCATAAACTTGGTAATATTATAATATTAAAACCATAAGGAATCAGCCGTGTCGGACAATATTAAAGGGCTGCAGTTATATGGGGATGTAGTTGAGTCACTAAGCAGTCAGTGCGTCTGTTACTATAAAAACCTCAGCTGAAGTATGACAGCTGAGTTTCAGTTCAGACTGGCCACTCTTATTTTTATATGATGCATGTCACGCAGGAAAGGACTGATAAGTCGTCAACACGTCTCCACTGAATGAGGAACTGGCGCCCTGTTGAGCTTGCAACACAGTTCCTCCTTGCTTTGTGTGTGTGTCGCAGAAAGAGATAAGAGAGGCAAAGGGAATTTTTTTTTCTGTGTGGAATGGGGTGGATTGCTCAGTCATCTAAGTCAGGAAGTTTTTTTTTTCATGGGTGGGGCTACTGTGGAAGGACAGGAAATTCCCAGGAACAGAACACTCAGCTGTTCATGACATTCCTGCCTCTCTGCTCCAAAGAAGGGAATCTCCGCCGAATAACAGGATGTTTCAGTAACTTCAGCACAGAAGATGAAGGGAGTTTTTACTCAAAGCCAAGTTAAATGGATATCAAACGTCAATGTAAAATACACTTACACAAGATGATTGTAGATAGACTCAAAACACAGCAGATCAGGAACCATCTCAGTGTGTTTACACATTGCAAATGAGATCTTGTGATGGCTCTAAAGACAACACTAGTACAGAATAATACAAATTATGGGTATTTTTTTAAAATCTGTGCATAAATTAACACTTTATTCTCTGATATATTGATAACTGCATCTTTCATACAAATGAAACATACTATTACACTAATATTTTCAGATTACTTAAGAATGCATGCAATGTTTTGGGATCTACAACCACAGTGACAGGCAACAAGTCCAAATAAAACAGCAGCCGTGGAACTGCTATTAATATTCTAATAGCAGCACTTAAGAATTTCCTGCTCACCCAAAATTAAAGTATTAATATGTACCTTGTAATACGCCCAACAAAGCACAAACTAACACATGGAAACTTTAGTGTTCAATAAAAACATTGTTTATTAGAAGTGTAGTTATGTACAGCAGTTTCAGATAAGGGGAGGAGGATTCAAACACAACGGGAAAATGAAAAAATAAGAGATTCTTATTGATGTTGACCTGAGCTGATCTTTGCAGGAGGAGTAGTGACAGTGATGATCGGCACTGGAAAATTGGACAATTCCCACAGCTGTTTTTTTTTTTGGGTTATCACAAATTACATCAGAGCACAAACACCACCCTGTACTAAACACATGAGAGAGAGAGAGACTTTGAAGCTGAATAATTAAATGAGAGATACACCTGGCAGCCCTGAGTAAAGAGTGGAAGCACTGTTTGAATACAGTGACTCAAGAAGCTGCACCGAGTCCTCGCTGAGAAAGAGGTAAAAAGAGATATTGTGCTGTAGGGGACACTGTAACCGTAGCTGCATCTTTATATTGTTGAATTGAATGTCCAGCATCTTTCTCAGTTTGGTGACAAGGACAAAAAGTAGAGGTCAATATTAGGACAATGGCATTCAGGCAGATCCTGGCTGTGACAACAGAGGATGGAGGAGGGGTAAGTGCCAGCGCCACCTGGTGAAAAATGGCCAAAAATGTTGATCATTGTTGATCTTTTTGTTTTGGTCTCGTCTCTCCTGAACAAGATTATTCCAACTCTTTTATGTTTCTTTTAGACAAAACCTTTTTGTGTGTTGCTGTACACTTTCCTCACTCTCTCTCGGATAGAGCCACTAGATGAACATCAATCTCAGCCTCTGACAGAATCCTGAAACACAAACACACCAGTTAACAGTTTACATTTTTTTCGGCCAGATTTTCTGGGCCTAACACTCACAAATCTGCACTTTACAGTAATACCCAATTGCTGCACAAACCTCACAGGAGTATCAGTAATGGGTGAGCTGATCCCTATAAAAGTGTCATATGTGTCTCAAAAAAATACTATACAGGTTGGGCTTCATTTTATTCTAAACATTTCAACAGCAGCAGCTGTTCATTAAAAAAAAGTAATTCATCTGTTACCAGAAAACATTCTTTACTTGTGAGTATCAAGGTGTTTGCTATTATTATTACAGAAAGGTACTCACTTGAATCGAGATTCCTGTTTAGTGATGACTCCCACCTCCAGCTCTGAGGGCTTGAAGTCGATGGACAGAACGGTTGACAGGCAAGAGATAGCTGTCTGTTGTGGAAGAGAGAGGGAGTTTATGGTAAAGAGCATGACACAAAGACATGAACTAAAAACAGCATCTGAAATGTAGATCCATTTGCAAACAGCATTCAAATATATATATATATATATATATATACACACACACACACACGTGTGTACTTGATAACAGAGTAATACATGAGTGATGTAATTGTATGCTCTCTGTCCTGTCTCTAAAATAAAGGCATGGAAAGCCCAAACATAAACATTTAAGCAAAAAAATGTATAATTCCAAACCCCCAAAAATTGCCAAAGCAATTCCATGAGATTCCAAAAACTCCATAACAATGAACAAGCCTGCGTTGTAACACCTCCATTTCTTACCACTGGGGTTGTTGTACAATGTGGACATATGAACAAGATATCACAGGTTACTATAATAATATGCAACAAATGAAGTATATGTGCGTCCTACCTCTATAGTGTGCTCATAGGTCAAATCAAGCTTCTTCTTGAGTTTCTTCTCCAGGAAGCTGGTGGCCTCAGTCTGTTTGACTCCTGCTGCAGTGGCCTTAAAGCCACAATAATAGCCAGCTGGATCACACTTGTAAAGCTGCGGACCCAACTCTTCATCCAGCCCAACCACCATCATACCTGTAATGAGGTAGGAAGGCAGAGGGAATTTAAGTCAGGCAGAAGGAACAAAGAGAGTCCTTTTTTTTTTTTTTTAAACATCTGGGTTGGATTCTTGATAGCTTACAAAACACTTAGAATCACTGTTTGATCTAAAATGTCCCTTGGATCCATCAAAAACACTTCTCCAACATTGTTTAAGAGCACAAGAGCTTAACCAATATCAGTTTGCAAAGATACAAGATGTGAAATAGAACTGCAAAATGCTGATATTTCGTGCTAACATTCAAAATGTGGCTCCAATGAAAACTCTCTGAAACACAATTTACACAACAACAGAGCTCTAAACCCTTCACACAAACAACACTATAGCAAACAAGGTTTATGTGTAGATATTTTAAAAAGTCATACAGTACCAGCTCTGGTCAATAAAATACTTTTTTATAATTTGGAAGGAGATAAAAAATATTCCAAACATTTTTAACATCTTGGTTTTAACCCTTTAAAACGACTGATGATCAAGGACATGATTCTGTAACACACATGCACAATACTCACAGCAGCCTAGCGGCCTCATCTCTGCGTTTTGGGTGTAGACTTGGGAGATATCTGCCATGCGTTTGCACAACATGTCCACAGGGATCTCATAGCCGTACTTGTACATCCAGTTAGCTGCTTCATATCGTGCCCTCTGCACCTGAGACCGGCTATCAGCTAGAGATAGAAAAAGCATTTCATTAAAAAAATGTAAGAATGCTGTGCTGTTTCTTTTCATTGATACAAAATTGTTCTTTATTTAAACACATCCATGAGACAACAGGAATACAAGAGGATGATTATCCCTGGCATTGAACTACTAAAGGGGTTTTAGCTATGAGGTTTTTTTTGTCTGTGTTTACTATACTGAATTTACCGTTTTAAAAATAGGTTGGTCATTTTTATTTTCTGCTGCACTAAAGGTTTGCACCAGCCTAGATGATCATGATGATTGAGATATTTCTAGCACTAAAAGATTCTGGGGAACAAATGGGCCATGGGAATCTGTTAGGAATGGCTCAAAACTTTGGGTTTTCAGTTATGCATCAGAACATCAGTTATACTAGACATTGCTTACCAGTCATGCCTGTCATAACACAGCCAATGTTGTCTGTAATTCTAAACAGATGTGTGACGGTCAAAGCATCCAGCAGCTTGTCCTGGGAAAAAAAAACACAAGACAAACAAAGAGATTTTCAACAGAGAAATGTAGACACCAACCATAATGACAACAGTGGAAGGTGACCACATGTGAAGACACAGTAACAAAAACTTCTATGAGTTTGTAATGTATACTGACTGGGACTTTCTTTTGTGTGACAATCACAACACAGTCCTTTCCTCTGACCGCAACAGACGTCAGTCCTCCCTGGTTGATGGCCTTGAAAGCATACTCTGTTAAAAGATAGAAGGAGAAACCGAGTCAGAAGCAAAGTAGTAAGTAAGTCTAAGAAGCTAGTATCTCTAATTTCTAACCATTCAGGTTAACATTACTTTTTGGGAGCACCAAAGATTAATGCCAGCTTTATTGGGCATATAAAGGTACATACACACAACTCTTTTTGTCTATATATATATATATATATATATATATATACCCTGATACACTCTGTCTTTAGACAAAGCAAACCTTGTCTTACAGGAGTTTACAAAGGGATCTGTCATAGCCAGGTTTGTTTTTGATTAAGGAATAAGAGTCCCATTAGTAGTTGTAAACACGTATAATTGGAGTTTCAATAAAATGAATATTGTGAGTGATACACAACTATCAAAATGTGCCATTTTAACTACAATTATAATTAAATAATTTTGCTTACTGTGGCCTTAACCTCCTATGAATCATTAAAATCCTTCAAGAAACAAAAACTTTATCTTAGCAATTTGATATAAGGTCTTATGAGAATTGTTGAAAATTGTAGGAATCCTAAAGGCTTTAATTGGAAATTCAATTCAATTCAATTCAATTTTATTTGTATAGCGTCAACTCATAACATCTGTTATCTGGAGACACTTTACAAAAAGCAGGTAAAATACCTTACTTATTGCTATATTACAAAAAGCAGGTAAAATACCTTACTCATTGTTATATTACAAAAAGCAGGTAAAATACCTTACTTCATTGTTATATTACAAAAAGCAGGTAAAGAGCACTTAGCAAAGCAGCAAAAGTTACAGTGGTAAGAAAAAACTGTCTTATTAAAAGGTAGAAATCTTCAGCTGGATCCCCGGCTATAAGAGTTTCCCAACAGGACTATACTATAGCTTTTCGATATTATTTCTAAAAATGTATTTAATAATTTTATGTGAATTTTAAGAGATTCCATTGAAATGCAAATAAAAAGTATAATTTTGGTTAAAGTTATGGTTCTTCCAGGTCTTATACATAATAGTAATAATAGACTTAATAGTAATATACTTAAAATAGAAGAATGAGGAATCATAACTTAAAATGTACTTAAGGTCAACAGCTACATGTAGCATTTATGCAGCTAGAGTAGATAGCAAAACTGCAACTCAACGTGGGTGTGTGTTAGTGTGTGTGTTAGTGTGTGTGTTAGTGTGTGTGGGTGGGGGGGAGTGTATTTATTAAGTGACTCCGACGACAATATGACATTGCACATCAATAGTGTTTTCTAAATGATACTGGAATATGAAAGAGCTGTTAGCTAATGTTAGCTTGTTAGCTTGATGACAGAGCATGTTGAGTTTGGTTTCTCACTCACCGACTTGGTAAAGTCTTCCCTCCGGAGAGAAGATGGTAATATGGCGGTCAAACCCTGCACTTGACCCTCGAGACATGACGGCTGGAAATAAGGGAGGTAAACAGACGTTGACTTGAAGATGAAACTAAAACTGAGATGAAAAAGAAGCAAAACATGGGTTTACTCCGGATGTGACGTATCAGTTCTAAGTCTCATATCCGGGTCAGCAACGCAGCTACGACTCTTGTGCCCATGGTGACAACAACCACGCTGCTCCTTTCCCTGTTGTTTTCTGATTCTTTTATTTTGACAAAAGGACAAACCAAATTTTAATTTTATTATGGATACAATTTAAATTAAAGAGTGTAGGCCGCTTAGTTGTTTGTAGAAAATATTTTATTTACAGCCTGAAAGTTTGAAAGCATATAGGTTAGTGCTTTTTGAAGAGGCAGAGCCATCGTTGTGGTACTTCATAGGTGCACCTGTCGTCTGTGTCATCATAGGGAAGGTGCCACGAGTCTGCTGTAGACTGAACGATGGTGTCATAGCTGGGAATACTCTAAACACACAGACACAAACAACACATTAGTTCATTAGTTCTTCATTTTTCTTTTTTTATTTAAATTTTACTGTGTTCACTTTTTGTCTGCAATTTTTGCTCTTTGCTGCTGTAACAATGTAAATTTCCCCATTGTGGGATAAATAAAGCATTATCTTATCTTATCTTAGTATGGGTTTCTTTTGTGTCTTATTAGCAACCCCTCTCACACCCTCTCCTCCTCCTCTCAAACTTCCTCTTCCTCACCTGAAATCGGACTCTCCTGCCCAAAGCAACAAACCCATCCACAACCAGCTGGTGGCCTCTCTGCCATTTGAAGAAGAGCTGTCTGGCGGCTCCGTCTGGCAGGCAAGCCTTGTGGTCCCTCATCAGGTCCCTGCTCACAAACTTACAGTGGTCCCCAGAATGCAACGTGGCATACAGCAAGAAAGGGTCATCTTCTGAGCTGACAGACGTAAAAAAAAAGAAAAAAGAAAAAAAAAAAGGCTGAGATAAGTAAGAGGTGCAGAACTATTTGCTAAATGCTTAACATGATCAGTCAGCCTCCAACATGTGTTGGCAAATTTCTAGAATTCTACTACAATTTCCTCAATAAAAACCTTTAGACTTTAAATTATTTCACATTTAAATAGACATTCATTTTATTTCTAATTGAAGAAATTATGATAATTTGAGATTAATTTTCTTTTTTACATTTTGCTCCTCAAGCATCCTCTGGCAGTCTTTGTAGCCTCTGCTTTTCAACTGTGTGATATTTCTTTTCTTGGGGCATTTTACGAATTATTCTTCTAACTTTCATCTGCTTACATATTGTCAGTGAAAAAGCAATGAGCTTTCTGCCTGATCAGGTCCATGTTGTGTCTCTCCCAGGATCTGGAGGGCCGCAGCATGTGTTTCCTCCCCAACACTAGAACAGAGAGGCCCTGATGCTCCAGCTCTGACACCACCGCCAACAACTGAAACACACACATACATACCCAAAAGGGTTATTTATGTTCATATTAAAGAATATCTAAAAACACAGGTCCGTCTAGAAGCCAGTTTCAATAATCTTCTTCCCCATAACTAAAGATGCAAATGCCTGGTCTGGTGAATCAGTTGTTAGGTGTGGTTGCCATGGGGAGGCTGTAGTGCATCTGAGAGCCATAAGGGAAGCCTTTAGATGTTAAAATCTTTTATCAGACATTAGAGTTGGGTACACAAACATTTTAAAGCCATGCTAGTGAGATTTATTTATTGATTGCAAAGTGTGTTACTCAGTCAGTCAATGTCCTGATGGATTGCAGTGAAGATTTGTACAGATGTGTGATCATCTTACTTTTCTTCTAGCACGTTCAATTGAATTACTTCAATATTTACTCTATGGAAAGCCATGAACGTTTTGACTTTAGTTCAGGCTTAATGTTAGTTAAGCATTAAAATTAGTGACCCTTTAAAATCTTTGATCCGGACAAATGTTATCATCAAATATTGTTGACAAAATTGATGAAAAATCAGCCTCTGCTGTGTTCAGCGTCAATAGCAAAAGTAAATATGCTAACTTGGTGAATTAAGATGTTCAACATGGTAAGGCACAAGTGAGCAATGACATTGTGAGTGTGTTAGCACACTGTTGTTAAATTTTGCTTAAAGTTTATTAGGTATTTTCTTTTCTTATTTCATATTCTTAACTGCATTAGCCCTGATGCAAATTTAAATCTTTTTTGCATACATTTCAATAGTGTATGCGGCCTGACAATAAAATAGATGACAAGATAGGTAAATAGGTTTGTACGTCTGTACTTCTCTTTGTCTTAAAGCCACAAAACAACTCGTGCAGACGTGCAGCGATAGTAGACAGAGACAGACCCACACACATACTTCCTCATAGACAGACAGATGTGGGCAAACCAGTGAACAGGCGTTATTATAATCAGTTATTTGCTGGTTAAAAAGACACCTGCTAGTCATAATGCAACCAGCAAAAAAACCCTGAGGTGCAAATACATTTAAATATGAAGAAACCAGAGAAGACTTTAAAACTCCATGCACACGTGGAGATATGATTCATGAAAAACATGCTGGACTGGTGACCCCTCTTCTAATTCCTCTATAAGAATATTTATTTTTTATCTCACCATCTCTGACATTTTGCTTTTGTCCTTGCTGAAATTTGCTACGTTCAGTCCATCCACAACAACATCGAAAGTGGGCTTCTTCTTCACAAATGCCTTGAACTTCTCCAACTCCTGAAAAGAGACATGTTTACAGAGAGATAAACATCAGAAATAAGCACGGTGAGACTGACAGATTGAAAGAGAATAGCTCAGTGGAGATGCAGGTTAAAAGATAAAGACAAGTTGAATTACACCTGGATACTGTGCCACATTGGCCATGAACTACTGATTTTACAAGTTAATCAAAGAAGCTACAATGTGATGCAGATGTTAATGGAGGCTTCTCCTAAAAAAAAAACTAAAAAAAAACATTACAACAACAACAACAACAACAACAACAACAACAACAACAATAATCTATTGTCCTGCAAGAAGCTCTATAAGGTTGTACTTAAGAAAGTGTGGCTAAATGCTAACATAAGCTCTGTAAGAAAGTGTGGCTAAATGCTAACATAAGCTCTGTAAGAAAGTGTGGCTAAATGCTAACATAAGCTCTGTAAGAAAGTGTGGCTAAATGCTAACATAAGCTCTGTAAGAAAGTGTGGCTAAATGCTAACATAAGCTCTGTAAGAAAGTGTGGCTAAATGCTATAATATGATTCCTAACAGGTTAACAATGAAAATGCTGAGAAGTTAATATTTAGCAGCTATCAATTATAATCTAAAGTAACATGCTTATCTAGTTGTGTTAGCATGCTAAGATTTGAGCTTCAAGCTGACTTTGAAACTGGCCTGCAAGATGGCAGAATTGGTTTACAATTAATGGAAACCAAAGTATATAAAATCTCCTCAGAATTAGGGCAAGCACTCACAAACAGTTCCCTTTTTAATCTTCCTCTTATTGGATAAATTACAGGAATTTTCTTTAACCTCATGAATGTATATATTTTTTTAAATCATATTCCTTTGCAAATGTGTACTACTTGTACATCTTGTCAGTGTGTTACCTGACCTAGTTTACTCAGCTCCCACTGCCATTGATGTTGATGACAACAAAGCTAAAATCAGAAAATAAACAAATCTCAGTATATTTGGGTGAAGTGGTAGACTTGCCCATTTTCAGTCAAAGGGAAAATGTGTGTCTGCAGAACTTTTAAAGCACCAGTGCCTCGTTCCTCTTTTAGTGATCTGGTTTATCAACTCCACCTGTGAGCAGACTGGCCGGATGGTTCAACGCTTTTCTCACTAACTGATCAAAGGCCTGCCTGTAATAAATCTATCCGGCTTTCGTTCTTGTTGCTGACAGCCAGCCGGCAGAGTGCTAAACAGACAATGGACTTGTCACAAAATAAAGTTTTATAGCTTTTGAGAACATGGCTAATATATGGTTGGTCAAATTTACTTTAAATTATTCTCAGACTTAGGTCACAAAATGTAGAGGTGACTTATCAGCTGTATAATATGTCCTACATTTGGTCACATTTTATTTCCACAGTCCAATACTTATTCTTATTTTCTCTAAAAAGGCCAATATACAGTATGTAAGTAAACAATTTAATGTATTTTTAAATCTGATCTAAGTGTTACTAAAATCCTTAAAATTGCCAAATTACAGTTTGTTGAATACTTCTGTGTCGTCTGCGGAGAAAGAGGATGCTTCAATTAGAGCTTTCATTCCAGAAAATGTTTAAAATACGATGTGGCAGCTTCTGAGCATAACAGGAAAGTAATGCCTCCTTATATGTACTTTCACTTTTAGAGAGCAGCAATATGAAAATAGGTTACTGTGAATTCCCCTGAACGTGAAACTTATCTGTATGCATACTGTCTTTCACGCACAATACAAATATGACAGTAAAAATGTAAATAAATAAGAGTTTAATATTCCTCCTCTGATGGAACTTTACATGTATTATAAATTAAAGGTCTTAAATGTATTCCATGCCAACAAGAAAGTTCAGTTTCACAGTGGAGGCTGGTTTTGGTTGAGATGGGGGAGATGTACGTTTTGAGTTTGGGGGCAATAAAAAGTATAGAAACATTGTTGGATGACTGATCGCTGTGTGGAGATTAGTGGGGTCATGAGTTATAATGGCAGAAGTGAAAGAAAACCAAAAACAGTAAAATAAAATGTAAGAACAAAAAAGAATGAGAGCAGGAGTTGGAGGAAGAGAGAGACAGAGAGAATAGTCCAGTATAATTATCCAGGGACTTTCCAGAGCTGATATGTGAAACCAGCTCATTGTGCTGCTGTGGATTATATGACTGCTTAAAACACACACACACACACACACACACACACACACACACACACACACACACACACACACACACACACACACACACACACACACACACACACACACACACACACACACACACACACACACACACACACACACACACACACACACACACACACACACACACACACACACACACACACACACACACACCTGCATAAATAGGCTTACAGTGCCATCCATGCACCATTTTTACACAGGGTAAACCAGTGTCCTCTAAAGACTATGCCACAACTTTAA